GCTGTGACTGTGTATGTGAGCCTGTGTGTGTGTGAGATTATGTGTATGAGTGTGTGCATTGTGTGTATAAGTGTGTGTGCATGTGTGTGGCTGTATGCGTGAGCATGTATGCATGTGTGTGCATTAGCGTGTGTATGTGTATGTGAGTGCTTGTGTATGTGTGTGCATTATGTGTATATGTCTGTGCAAGAGTATATGTGTGTGTGACTGTGTATGTACGTGAGTGTATGTATGAGTGTGTGTGCATGTGTGTGTGAGTGTGTGTGTGGCTGTGTGCATGAGCATGTATGCATGTGTATTAGTGTGTGTATGTGTGTGCATTATGTGTATATGTCTGTGCAAGAGTATATGTGTGCGTGACTGTACGTAAGTGTATGTATGAGTGTGTGTGCATGTATGGGTGTGTGTGCATGTATGGGTGTGTGTGCATGTGTGTGTGTGTGTGGCTGTGTGCGTGAGCATGTATGCATGTGTATTAGTGTGTGTATGTGTGTGCATTATGTGTATATGTCTGTGCAAGAGTATATGTGTGCGTGACTGTACGTAAGTGTATGTATGAGTGTGTGTGCGTGTATGGGTATGTGTGCATGTATGGGTGTGTGTGCATGTGTGTGTGTGTGTGTGTGGCTGTGTGCGTGAGCATGTATGCATGTGTATTAGTGTGTGTATGTGTGTGCATTATGTGTATATGTCTGTGCAAGAGTATATGTGTGCGTGACTGTACGTAAGTGTATGTATGAGTGTGTGTGCATGTATGGGTGTGTGTGCATGTATGGGTGTGTGTGCATGTGTGTGTGTGTGTGGCTGTGTGCGTGAGCATGTATGCATGTGTATTAGTGTGTGTATGTGTGTGCATTATGTGTATATGTCTGTGCAAGAGTATATGTGTGCGTGACTGTACGTAAGTGTATGTATGAGTGTGTGTGAGTGTATGGGTGTGTGTGCATGTATGGGTGTGTGTGCATGTGTGTGTGTGTGTGGCTGTGTGCGTGAGCATGTATGCATGTGTATTAGTGTGTGTATGTGTGTGCATTATGTGTATATGTCTGTGCAAGAGTATATGTGTGCGTGACTGTACGTAAGTGTATGTATGAGTGTGTGTGCATGTATGGGTGTGTGTGCATGTGTGTGTGTGTGTGGCTGTGTGCGTGAGCATGTATGCATGTGTATTAGTGTGTGTATGTGTGTGCATTATGTGTATATGTCTGTGCAAGAGTATATGTGTGCGTGACTGTACGTAAGTGTATGTATGAGTGTGTGTGCGTGTATGGGTGTGTGTGCGTGTGTGTGTGTGTGTGTGTGAGTGTGTGAGTGAGTGTGGGTGTGTGCTGAGCTTTCCCAGGGGCTGTTTATTTGCTTTCTTCGAGGTTTTTTCCCTTGAGAGCCGGCCACTGAGCCACAGGAGATGCTGCGGCCTCGGCTGTGCGCTGTGAACGGGCTCCTCTCCCTCCGACGGCGGCTCCTGTGAAAGGGGCCCCCCCTCCCAGCCGACTGGAAGTCACTGCGTGAAGGAGCCTGGGACTCACTCAGTTCCTGGACATGCAGCCGCCCAGGGGCAGTGAGGCAGAACCCGCACCGGGCGGTGGGCAGGGCGGGCGGAGGGTGCGCCCAGACAGATGCCGCCGGTGCTGAGGGAGCTGAGGCAGGAGACCGCTTCCAGGAGGAGCCCCCGGTCCAGGCGCCGAGAGGGCGGGACTCCAGGGCGGCTGCGACCAGAGAGGGTCCTTTTATTTATTTAAAACACATTTTCATTGATTTCAGAGAGGAAGGGAGAGGGAGAGGGATGGAAGCATGAGTGATGAGAGAGGATGATGGATCGGCTGCCTCCTGCACGCCCCACACTGGGGATCGAGCCCACCACCCGGGCCTGTGCCCCGACGGGGAATCGAGCCACGACCTCCTGGTTCATAGGTCGACGCTCACCACTGAGCCACGCCAGCCGGGCGGGGGTAGATTTTCCTTAATGGTTGGAATGAAGCGCCTGCTTTTCCTCGGTGCCTGTAGGGACTCCCACTAACCCCTCACTCCGACTGGCCCCGGGAACCTATTGATAGAACCCAACGCGTTCCGACAGCCTGTCGGCTTCGCGCAACCCGAGGACGTCCATAAATTACTTTAAAGGCATAATAGATCTCCACGGCCACCCGCATCGATTGAGTGTCAGGAATGAAATATTGCATTTCAGCTCCGCCGGCCTCTTGGAGGAGACGGGGGCGGTAATTGAGCCTCCTGCAAAGCGCAATTTATGACCCGCGGTTCCGGGGCCAGTTGCTTCCGGGGGGCCGTTGAATGAGACGTGGGCTCGGCCCTGAGCGTGGACAGCGCTCCCCACCCTGTCACCGAGGGCCGCGCCCCCACACAATCAGATTCCGTTTGCGAAGGCGAAGGGTTCGCCTCCGGGAGCTTGTCCTGCAAAATCCTCTCCGCCTCAGCCAAGCGGAGTATTTGGCCAAGGATCTCAGCTCTAAATGAAAGGGTTCCCGCCCTGGCTGGTGTGGCTCAGTGGGTAGAGCGTCAGCCTGCGGACTGAAGGGTCCCGGGTTCGATTCCCGGTCAGGGCACAGGCCCGGGTTGTGGGCTCAATCCCCAGTGTGGGGCGTGCAGGAGGCAGCCGATCCGTGATTCTCTCTCATCATGAATGTTTCTCTCTCTCTCTCCCTCTCCCTTCCTCTCCAAATCAGTAAAAGAAAATATTAAAAATTAACTAACTCATTAATCGAAGGGTTCCTCGGAGACCCTGACACTGAAAGCCTGGTTAGTCAGGAGGGGAGGCTGACTTTGGCCCGTGGCCACCCATGGGATGCCCGTGGCCCGTGTGGCACCGCGGACGTCACTGGGAGAATCAAAGGAGAACCGAGGTCCGTGCCACCCGCCCGCCCGCGAGGTGGGGACGGAGGCGTCTGCCCCATGTTTCCGTGTCCGGAGCCACAGCAGAGCCCGCGGCCCGGGCAGCTCATGGCCTCCCGGGTCGTTTCTGCTGGACGGGCATCCCCATGGTGCTCGCTCGGGGACAGCGCGGCTTCTCCATCTCCCGGCGGCTTCCCCGCCCTGCAAAGCAGGAGGCCAACAAGCTCCTCCCGTTTGGTGCGATTTGGTGGACGGTCCTTTCAAAGGCCCTTCCCTAACCGGTGTGGCTCAGTGGGTAGAGCGTCGGCCTGTGGACTGAAGGGTCCCGGGTTCGATTCCGGTCAAGGGCATGGACCTTGGCTGCAGGCGCATCCCCAGTACGGGGTGTGCAGGAGGCAGCTGATCTATGTTTCTCTCTCATCGATGTTTCTAACTCTCTATCCCTCTCCCGTCCTCTCTGTAAAATAATCAATAAAATGTATTTTTTTAAAAAAGGCCCTTCCCACGCTGGCTCTGAGGGCGGTAGACGGGAGGAGAGGGTTCTCTTTTTTTGTAATTGATTTCAGAGAGGAAGGGAGAGGGAGAGAGAGAAACATCAGTGATGAGAGAGGATCATGGATTAGCTGCCTCCTGCACACCCCACACTGGGGATGGAGCCCACAACCCGGGCCTGTGCCCCGACCGGGAATCGAACCGTGACCTCCTGGTTCATTTAAAGCTCAACCTCTGCGACGATGTCCAGGCCGATCCTTCCTGGAGCCTCACCGTTGGCATGCGTTTGGCGGAAACAGCTTTTATCTGAAGTTTTTACTGGAAGAAATCCACCCCTCAGATTGAAGACTCGGCAGAAATACACGTTTTAAAAAAGCCATCATCCCCCTGGGGCCAAACCTAAGCTCGCGCATGTGACATCGCTGCACAAGGTGCGCGATCCGCCGTCTCAGGGACTGATGCTCTGATTGGAAAACACTACTCCCGCCTCTAAGCGGGGGGGGGGGGGGGGGGGGGGGGGGCTTTTTCAATTCCTGGCTTTTAAGTCAGCGGGGGAATTCCTGTGGTTTCACCTACAGTTTAACTGGGTCTCAAGAGCACAAAGCACATAAACACTCACACATTCACACACGCACACATTCACACACGCCTGCGTGCACACATGCAGACACGTGTACTGCACACATACCCGTGCATGTGCACACGAGCATGGACACTGCACAGACTCGCATGCAGACACACGCCTGCACAGGCCCGCACACACGTCGGCTACGTGTTCCCTTTGCCCACAGGACAGTGACATGACTCCCCGAGCCCGTGGACGGGCGGGCAACGGACATCACACCGCTCTGCCTCTCCACGCACCTTGCGTGGGGGTCGTTCCCGTGACTGGCCGTCCCTGGGGAGCGGAAGGAGGACACGCTGTGGCCCTGGGCCGCCGCCGATCAATGGTCAGGACAGCAGGGCCCTCGCTAACGAGCCGCCGCGGGGACCGCGCTGGTGCCGACGCGGAGGAAGCGGAACCGATTGGAAGCCGAGAGGGTGGCTCCGTCTCGGGGTGCAAAGCTCCCCATCTGACTTCTGTGGACAGGAGAGCAGCTTTCGGCCTCGCCGGGAAGAGCGCCGAGCACGGGACCGTCGGGGAGGAGGGACTGTGCTCGGCCGTCTGGTTCGCAGGCGCCACAGCCCCGCTCCCCGCTTTGTATCAGGGACACGGCTCCCACCCAACGCACCCCCATTCCAGGAGGACAGCGGTTTCCATGTGCGCTTTTCTGTGAAAAGGTGTTAAAAATCCATAGGAGCCGGAAAAAAGTCCAGCAAATCCATCCCATGACCACCTCATTATTCTGGGGAGACTCAGCAGGGCTCCCCCAAATGCTGTGTCTGGCATACGCTGGAGAGTTCAGAGGGACATGGAGGTGACAGGTGTCGTGGAGAGAAGAGGGGCGGGAGGGTGTGCCGCAGTTCAGGGCACAGTCGGGACACCACCTCAGGGTCAGCCAGGCTCCCCCGTCGCCCGGACAGGGCCGACCTGGGGCGACTCCAGGACAATCGATCGAGGGGCTCGAGGAAGGGCTGTTTCCGAAGTAGGACGGGGGGTGAGAGAAAGCATGGCAGACGTGAGGGGAAAACACCACAGAGACATAAGCCGTTTACTGTGCTCGGGTTTTTAACTGTATGTTTTTATTGATATTAGGATATGATACAATGTTCCAAGCTGACATCCGAGTGTTCTGTGTATCGGAAGCATTGACAAAATAAAGGTCTTTCAGAAAGGAAGTCCGCAGGACAGAACTATGGGAATACGAGGCACGGGGGGATTATGCGCTTGCGGGTTATACACATAATACATTCATTGTAAAGGGAAAAACAGTTCACGTGAGTAACATTTTGGCGAAAATAAATATCATGTAAATGTGAACAGCGACAGCTGGAGTACATCGACACAGGGACGGGGTTTTGTAACGGGAGCCGGGAGGGTGGGCACACGCGGGAAGCGCTGTGGCATCAGTAAATTACACTCATCGCACGCGGGAGTGAGCGCCTTATTTACACGGGCACACCCCCGGCCACCACCCCAACCCTCGGCGCACGCACCGGCGTCACCCACGTCACCAGGGCACCGGGGTCTCCATGCGGCTTAGAATCAGATGCACCTTGCATTTTACTGCCCCTCGGATCAAGTCAAATGCTTTGCTTAACCAATACGAAACAAGCCCAGAAACAGAAGTATATAAAGAACATCATTTGACGTGCGATTATCAAACTTTAAACTCCCGACCACCTTCGCGATGCTTCGCAATGACCCCCCTCAAAATCCAACTTGGTTTTTCACCCAGTAGCCTCTTCAGGAGAAAGATGGACGTGACGGCAGGTTTCCTCGTGTGGAAAATGACCACGGGTTCCCCTGACCGTTCGATTCCCCCACCCCCACCCCCCGATTTCCTCCCGGCAGACGGAGTCGCTGGAAAGGAAGCTCACTCCTTCACTTATGAGTTTTAAGCACCGTGAGGGCTGCAGCCGATGGGTTTTCGATCCGGGGATTTTTGGAGATTGCAAGAAAAAGGAGGGTGTGGATTCTCAGTGAGGAACAGCTCATCTCACCAACCCCATCGCACCCCTGGGCGACAAAACCCACCCTCCCCGTCGCGGGAGACGAGTCTGTGGGCGCTCAGGGCACGTGTCAGCTGTCAGTCAGGCGCTGGGACCTGGAAGACATGCACCAGCCCGCACACACGGCCCCCCAGGCCCGTCTGCCTCTCCCAAGGTCAACCCCCTCGTTCCCAGGTGCCGTCACCGATGAAGACTCACGGATGAAGATCCGGGGCTGGGCACACCGGGAGAGGCAGGGTGTACACCTGGGTGCCCTTTGCACGTTTAAAGTGGACACACGACTTGAATGTATCCCAGTGGCTGTAAGAGAGATACTTACATGAAGACACAGGGCCGGCGGTGGGTTCTATCCGCTAGAGGGCGCTGTTCTCCCCCAAGACGCGGCTGCGTGGGCAGGAGGGCGGATCCCAAGGTCACAGCAGGGTCACAGGGTGGCACCGCACTGTCCCTTGGTGGTGGCGGCCGCTCTGGTCACCACTCGCACGGGGCACTCGGGGAACAGACGTGCCCGCACAGCCTCCACGAGACCATCCACTTCCTCGCCCTCCTCACACGTGGATGCAGCACGTGCTCAGAGCTTCACAACGGAAATAAACGCCCGCCTCCCCAAATCCATCCCACGCCGGCTCTCACCTCTTTACACACATGCTGAGTCACGCCTCATCACCCGCACAGACCCGCACACCTGCCTCCCTCCCTCCCCTCCGACCACCGACACCCACGTGCAGACGGCGCGCTGGGCGAGGGTAGGAAACATGGCCTCCATCCCAGGCCAGGGCTGGGACACCACATCCTTCTCAGGGCACAAGGTGGTCGGGATCCGAGACAGTCCTGGGTAAGATGCACGGAGGACATAAATAAGGAAGGAGCTTGGAGAATACAAAAGGCTTTCTGAAGGGGATGGATGAAGCGCCCATAAAATCCATGAATAAAAGCATACGCTTACACTCCAGGGCACAGCTGTGGGTCAAGCCCTCGGGTTTGTAAGGAAACTGCAAGACGGCACTGCACGGCGACTCAAAGGGTGTTTTCAAATGTACAAACGGTAATAAAAACACAGAGAGCGCCTCGGAGCGCACACCCTCCGAGGTCACCGCCGCGCCGGCCACGCCAGCCTTAACCACTTTTAAACGGGTTCGTGAATACGCTTTAATGCGGAGAGGACGTCAAAGGTGGGAAAACAAGACAAAACAAGGCGGGAAACTCTTCAGTGTCTGACTCACATTCTGTCCCCACATGGTTTCACATTTCAGAGTTGCCTTTTGAATGTGAAGAAGTTTCAAAGTTTCTCCAACGGTGACATCTCTCTTAAGAATTACATTGCAACAGCTACAACGCTAAGAACTAAAACACATAGTCCACCTGGAAAGGGAAAACGACCACAGAGTCCACAGTGGGCTCATGTCCAGTCCGCAGCTGGGAGGCCCGCGGCCCCAGGCGCCGCTCCGGCTGCGTCTCCCCTGACGAGGGCCCGCGGCGCCGCGTTTGGCACTGAGAGTCGGTCCCCACACACCCGTCAGGAGAAACCTCGCTGCGTCTCCCACCTTCAGCCACGAGGACCATCCTGTGCCGCTCACTCTCCCAACATGCGATCCGATTACCCCCAAGTCACGGGGTTTGCAGGAAGGCGACTGACATGGGTACAATGAAGCTGATCTGAAAACGGGGGAAGGGTTCCAAGCGCGCGAGCTCTGAGGAGTCGTCTCGCCCCCAGACCGACGCCGGGGTCTGAGCTGCAGGAGAGGCTCTGGGGCGCTGGGCTGTCCACGCCCCGGCTCAGCTGCTCGCGGTGCACGCGTGCATCCTCTTGGCCACGTCGTACACGTAGGCGATGTCCGGCCGCTTCTCGGGGTCGGGGTTGATGCACATGTTCACCAGCTGCCGGAGCTGCGGGGACAGAAGGCAGGACACTCAGAACCCGGAGCCACGCACTGAGACGGACGGACGGACAGACGGGGCCTGAGCAGCTGGACGGGGCCTGAGCAGCTGGACGCAGGGGAGGAAGCACGTGTTCTGGCCACATGTTCATCTGACTGAGACACACGTGACTGCGTGAACGGTATCCCAGCCCGGTGGAGGGGCCAGGAAGCCGCTCACGGGTGAGCGTCAGTGGCAAGCCAAGGGCCTTTCCACGCGAGATGCCGCCCTTGCGACCACACGGGTGGACCTGGAGGACATCACGCCCAGCGAGAGGTCGGACAGAGAGTCAAGAAGCGTATGGTTTCACTCACAGGTGGGAAAACTACCGACAACTACAAATGAACGAAGAAGAAAAACAAGCAAACACTCACGGACAACAGCATGCTGGTGACAGAGGGAAGGTGGAGGGCAGGAGAGGGTAGAGGGAGTCAACTACCGGGGGACGGACGGAGACTGGGCTGGGGGGTGGGCACAGTGCATATGCAGATGGCGCGTCATGGAGTCGCACACTGGACACCAAACAGCCTTACCAACCAATGTCGTCCTCACACATTTAACTTCAACAAGAGGCCTTTTCCACAATCAGCAGCCAGATTCTCTGCCTTATACGTATGTCTTTAGGAATCATTTAGATTTTTCAAAAACTTGTGTTAACTCTTTCTGGTCAGTACATAAGCGCTTGTGAAATCACCAAATTGCTATAATCTCTTCACAGCCATCAAGCTCTACCTCTGAGGGGCTAAAGATGCCCACTTGTGCTCCTGCGACAGAGCAGAGAACAGCACCAGAAATCCTATCTTTTCTCCGTGGTTACCTTACTCTCTCTCTCCCCTTTCCTCAGTCTCCCCTGAGCCTCAGTGCCCAGGCCCTGCAGGCCCACGGGCGGCCGGGGCCGATGGTGAGCAGTGACCTCCAGGAGCAGGGCCTATGGGCTGGAGGGGGAGCCCAGAAGGAGGGGCCGGCGGGCAGGGGCGGACAGGACAACCTCCTGCAGGAGACACGCCCCAGTTTGGTTTTAAAGAGACCCCGCTGGCCTGGTGAAGACCAGGAAAGAGAAAGAGGCAACGGTGCCCATAAAGACACGGAGACCAAGTTGGGTGGGGGGTGTCGGGGGCAGTTCTGGGAAACTACAGAGCCCGTTACCATTTAGCCATAAGCTGACACCTCCTGGCCTGGTCTGGATGAAAAGCCAGTTTACAAACCTGACACGTCATTTTTCACCGTGTCCTGTACGCTCCCACCCTGAAGTGACACCGACCTGGACTTAAACCGACCGAAAGCCCCGCTCTGCATGCAGAGCCATGAAGGTGCCCTGAGCGGCAGCCGGGACCTGCTTGGCTTCCCGGCAGGAACGGGAGTGCGGGCTCCACAGGCAGCGTGGGCTGCCCCCCGAGGAGAGCGGCCCGATGTACATCTGCCCGCAGAGCTCCCGCTCCCGGACATTTCTGCGAAGCTGCCCGGATCCGGGTCATCGTCAGGCGCACCTTCCACGTCTCATTTCTCTGGAAGGACCTGGCTGCGTGTGGACCTGGACAGCACAGCCTCCTGCCCACCAGGCACAGGACCTCCTGGGCCACGGGAGGAAGGTGCTGCCCGTGGGAGACCACGGGGCCGGGACCACCGTGGAGGGAGGAGGAGGCCGGTCCCTCAGACCCGGGCCCTTCCATGGGGCAGACTCCGGGACTCTGATATCTGCCCCGACCTCCCACTCGGCGGCCAGACGTGGCCCCGCAGGCAGGCGCTTCCACCATGCGGCCCCATCATTAAAATCCTGCTGAGGTCACCATGGCAACCGCCCGCTGCGCCCGCATCCCCTCATCAGCCGCATGTGAAATGCAAATGCGGCGCGGAAATTAGTGCAGGAGGAGCGCGGAGGTGCGGGCGCGTGAAATATTCATGCCTCGCGGAGGGAAGCGGCCTGAGTGACACAACAAAGAGCCGGCCCTGACATGCCGAGCCCGGCGCCGTGCTCGCGGCCGCCCAGCGCTCTGTGCAAAGCGCGTTGATGATATTCCAGCCCCAACAGCCATTAGGAACGGCTCGCAGGCCACACACCGTCCAGCAAACATAACACTCTGATTAGCTCGCTGCCCGCGCGGTGCTCGCTCTAATGACCTGATGCAAAGGCTGCGGGCACAAAGCAGGCGGCCGGCGACCCCCATCCACGCCCAGCAAGGGGCGCTAGCGGAGGCCGGACACTGAGACGGCAGAAGCCCTTTAGGGCTCACTGTTCCGGCCCCGCGGCTCCAGGTCCCGCAGACAGAACCGGAACCGGGGCTCTGCGTGCGAACAGAAAGCTGGCCGCCACCCACCAGCCAGCAGCGCAGCGGCTTCCTGCTGCTCCTTCGCGCCTTCCCCTTCTCCCGGGCAGACAGATGCCCTCACGCGTCCTCCCCGGGGGCCTCCACCAGCTCCCGGAGAGACGTGAACAGGCCACACGCAAGCTGACTGAGGCCTGCTGCTCCACGTGTCTCCCTCACTGGTGACATCACGCCGGGGTTGCTACCATCATGAAGGGATCACTACAACCATGACGAAATAGCTACAATCATTGTGTGTTCGGCTAAACGGGAGATGCTGATGGAGCCCAGGCAATTCCTTTCAGTGGGTTCCCCAAGCAGCGAGGCTCAGTGATCACGCGGGCAGAGCTTCCACCAGGTCCCTCCAGCCCCTTCCACTCCTCACAGGGCCACAGCGGGAGCCGGAGACCCGCCCGTGGGAACCTGCGTGCGGCCAGAGGCGGGACAGGCAGGTGCTGCAGAGATGGGGGGAGGGGGGGACACGAGCTGAAAGCAAAGCACGAGGCTGAGGGACACGTGGCCAAGACGCCCATTTCTGTTCTGGGAAGACACGACAGGAGGGGGTTGTGCCGAAGAGGAAAGTTCTGGTTGCCTGTAGTTCTAAGGGTGAGGGAGGGCGGAGCTGCCCCTGAAGAGGGGCCTGGGGACATGTGGACACACGGACACGGGACCAGCAGCTTGGGCCTGAGCCGGGCTGAGCCCTGACTGCCCAGGCGGGTCCCGTCGCAGCCCAAGTGGCCGCGTCTACACCACTGCATCGACGAATCGCAGGGTCAACTTAGGAGTCTCCGGGGACTGTACCGGTGAGAAGGGCCGCCTCTGCCGCCTGCACAGGCAGCCGGGTGTTTGGGGAAGGGCGCATCCCTCGGGCAGCGCGAATGCGGGCGGGCGGGCGGACGGACGGACGGATGGCTGCGCGGGCGGAGCACTCACCTCCTCCGAGTAGTGGTCGGAAGGCAGCGGCGGGTAGTCGCACTGCTCGATCTTCTTGCACAGCGAGTACAGGTTCATCTTGTCGCCGTAGAAGGGGCTCTGCAGGGCGGCCATCTGCAAAAGGCCCGTGAGACCCAGGTCGTCAGAGGGCCGCTTCCCGGGGACCCCCCCCCCCCCGGCGCTACACGGGTCGGACACAGTGACAGACCCTCACAGTGGGGGCCTCTGGTTCTCACGGGCACCCCTTTCTGGCCATTCTCTGGGAACCTCTAGAAATCCTACTTCAATGTTTGGTTGTTTATTTTCCACATTTAAAATCCCCTACAAGGGAGAAATGGTTACCATATATTTACGTACAGACATGTACAACACAAGAAAAGGGACATAAAGTAAACTGGAATTCGTTGTAACTAGTGGCCATCAAAGCAGCTAGTATTCCCCCATGACTAAACAGACCCCGATGGTCCATATCAGTGGCTCTCAACCTTCTGGCCCTTTAAATACGGTTCCTCATGTTGTGACCCAACCATACAATTATTTTCGCTGCTACTTCATCACTGTCATGTTGCTACTGTTCTGAATCGTCATGTAAATATCTGATATGCAGGATGGTCTTAGGCGGCCGCTGTGAAAGGGTCGTTCGGCCGCCAAAGGGGTCGCGACCCACAGGTTGAGAACCGCTGGTCTGTATGGATCAGGTAACGGCCGGAATATAACAAACACAAAGTTGAGCTGGAGCTGAACTATCACCAGCAGCGGCTCAGGGAGGACAATGCGGGCACTGCTCTCGCATCATCGTTTCTGTGGAAGAGGGTCCCCACCCGAGCCCCCGCCTGACCCTCAGTCTGCAGTGACCTGGACCTGTGTTCCCTTTGGAAGCATCTCGAAAAACCACTGAGTATGTTCAAAAGCTCTAGGACTCACAGGCACCAAGTCCAGGCATCCAAGTGAGATTTTTAATGCAAAAAAAACCTCAAGGAATGAACAACTTTTAAAGGAGACGATTGAATTCAAACTGATTCCAGCCAGGGCTCCGGCTGGCACCTGGAGTGCAGCGAGGACGCGGGCAGCAGGCTACAAACTCAAACGCCCTTTCGAGTGTTCGCGTCCCGTTCAGCCCCGTGGCGGCTGGAGGTGCAGCAGCGAGGACGCGGGCGCAGGGCTGCCCGAGCCAGTCACCCCTTTCCCACGCGCTAATCACGAGCGCGGAGGACAACGTGCCCCCGACAGGCGGTGCGTGTGAGACACGCTTGTCCGTGCTCTGCGCTCAGGAGCGTCGGGGATGCTGCGCCGAACGCGCTCATGTCTGTGGGGCCGGCTTTAACCCCTTCGGTGCCTCGGGCAGGGGGGCGGCTCGAGGCCCAGCTGCATCTTACGTACCATCCCAGGGTCCTGCACAAACACCTCGAACAGCTCCCCAGGGAGAGGGAAGGGGGGATCTGAATGTCCCCGATCACGGAGAACACCCCAAGGGGAGGAGGTTTCTAAAAGAGGGGCTCCAATCAGAATCACATGTTTTCGTGTTCAAAATGCAAGGACAGCCCCAGCTGGTGTGGCTCAGTGGATAGAGCATTGGCCTGCAGACTGAAGGGTCCCCGGTTCGATTCCCGGTCAGGGCACATGCCCGGGTTGCGGGCTCGATCCCCAGTGGGGGGTGTGCAGGAGGCAGCCGATCCATGGTTCTCTCTCATCATGGATGTCTCTCTCTCTCCCTCTCCCTTCCTCTCTGAAATC